GGTGTTTTTGTATTAAATAAATGGCTTTATTAAGTTTCATAGTCCCACCTGTGGATTCAGTGCATGTGTGTGTCTTATATTTGCTGGTTTTCTCTCACTCAGCCGCCTCCTACCTACGAGGAGGTGATCAGGGAGAAGACACAAGAGCAGGTTCTCTCCACTCCTTCCTCCTCCTCTGCCTCAGCGTCCCCCTCACATCCTGTTTCCAGAGTAACCATCTCCACACAGACTGATCCAGGATCTGACCCTGATCCTCCAGAACCACAAGGCAAGAGGAAACTTGAGGTTTTTTTTTTTGGGGGGGGGGGTTTGTAAAGCTGGGTGATGTCAATAATATATCAATAACACATCAGTACAGTCATGAGTTAAACGGTGCCGCTGTTCCAGATCTGCAGTCGTGTCACCCTGCCCACACCTTCCAGCTGCACCAAAATCTCAGGGAGGTGGCCTTTGCTACTTACAAGCTATTTATTGTGGAGAATATTGAAGCACTAAAAATTATTTTGCATGTATTTCACCTGTAGCGAAAAACTAATCTGATTTCTACATCTCCATTGTTGGGCTGTGGGGGGGTCGGACGTCAACGCACTCATAGTAAATGTTTAAAGTCTGTTCATATTAGACATAAGCAAGCGTTGAAATAACTGAATATGGTTCATGATTTCCTGCACCGTTGCTCTGCTTTCAGCACCTTTATTGGCTTTTGGTGTTTCAGTTTATATATTCTTCATGTATTATTATCTCTTTCACAGCAAGTGTGTAATGTAAATGACACTGTGTGCCATTTACCTGGACCGCTGTTTAATGTTCATGCTGTTGGTGACTTTAATAGCATTTGTAAATAGTATTATCTGACAAATAATGTGGTTTGCTGTGTGGTGCAGATCATAAGAGGCTTGTACTTGAGTTTTAGTGACTTAACTTCTAGAATTTTAGAAGTTCTGTTACACTATTTTCTGTTACATTGCACCCATATATTTTATGGGTGGGGCTTTCTAACAAAGTTCACTCATTTTAGCTGAGGCGCTCCACCATTTCATAAAAAAAACCCTAAATAACAACAACAACAAAACTAGATTGTGACAGCCAAAATGCCAAATTCAGGGGGTAATGTTACAGTAGTTACACTATGTGCATGTTTTAAATACAGTACAATACAATACAGTCTGCCTGGGAACTAGTGAGCGGCGTGCCGCCTGTTATTTTACATTTCATAAAGTAACAGGATGTTATCTGTTTTGTCTGTATCAGCCAGCCGTAATGTCTGCCTTTAGCCTTATTTTATACGTAAGTAATCGAGTAAAAGTAACTTCTGTCTGTGTGTGCAGTAAGAAGAGCAGTGAAACCGCCTCGGCCGCCTTGCCGCCAGCCTCCTAAATCATTTCACGTTGATGACATCACCAGCACTGCCAGCCAATCAGCGCTTGCCCCCGTTGGCAGTGACACGCACATTTCCACGCACACACAGTCCTGTGACCTCACTGATCTGGGTTCACCTTCAACCTCGAACTCTGGTGTTCAGACTGACCAGTGGGATCAGCGCTCTGCTACTGCGGATGTGCCTCCTCCTCGTACTTCTCCCACCACTTCCTTTGAAGTCCCATTGGAGCAACCCAGACCACGTCCTCGTTCTAAGCCTGGCCTTCGACCAATCAGCAGCGAGGTTAAAGTTCAGACTTTGGTGAAGCTGCGGGAGGACGGTTTGGCCACGTTAGCCAGTCGTGCAGCGAGTGACGCTGCTAACCAACAAGTCACTCAAGGGAAATATTCTCAGGAGTTACTCGAGGCCTTCAGTTCAGACGAGTGGGGCTTCCCCGATAACCGCGGCGACACCAGTGGGCTGAGCCAGTCAGAGAGTGAGGAAGGGGAGGACGAGAACGACGGGGAGGACATGGCAACACTGAAAGCTAGGATAGAAGCCTTTGAGCAGCAGCAACAGCAGCAGGTGAGCAGTGAGAGCTGTGACGGTAATGACAAACAAAGCGGAACCACAAAGAGGCCCGAGCCTCGACCACGCCCTCGTTTCCAGGGGCAACAAGCCAAATCTAGTCCTCCCACGATTGCCCCCAAACCCAAAAACTTTTCACCTGGCCTTAAACCGTCCACCAAGGGATTCTGGGAAGATGGAGGTTTCACAGCAGCCACAGAGGACTCGACTGAAGCCCCCTCTTCTAAAACTCAAACAACGGCAGAACCATCACTGAAATCTGCTCCAGGCCTGGAGCCACAGCCCATTAAACCCACAGAGAAACCCACAATAACACCCAAACCCCAGTCCAGCACAGAAACCCTCTCCTCTGCTCCTGTCCCAGCCCCGCGGCCCCCTCCACCCAAGCTAACCCCCTGTCTCAGTGACCCTAAACCCCCACCCAGACCTCCAGTCACCCCCAGGGTCAGCGTGGGTGTTTCACACCCAGATAAGAGCACCACCGATGGAAGCACTACCCCAACTCTAACCCCGAGGCCCTTGGTGGAAGTTGGCGGTGGATCACAGGCAGAGACCCAGACTGGAAGTGAAGCGACGCAGAGCGCCACAAACCAAAGTGGTGAGTTTTCAACACAATTCACATTCTGCTGCCCCCTACAGGTGGCTCGAGGGAACTACTGCAGTTGTTATAAACAATATAAACAATTAATAATTGTTATTAATTAATAACTATTAATTCATAATTGTTACTTTGTTTCAATTTATTTACCGAAGAGTGCTGTGGCAGAAAAATAATGACCTGCTGGTGCCTTAATATCAGCAGTTTTTCACATTTCACATTGCAGTCTTAGCATTTGTGGTAGTAGCTAGAGATTAGTCCCATACTGTAGTGGTTTACACATTTGCCTAAAAAGTCGAAAGATCCTAGTTTGATTCCAGGTTGTGTCAGGAAACCTTCCAAGCAAACATGCAGAGCTGTCTGCTTCAGTGACCGCTTGTGAATAAGGAAGCAGATGAAAGTATTGTGCTATTAGCAAACAAAGGAGGTGCAGCCATGCTTACTTATAGGTTGTGATGATGATAATAATAATAACAATGATAATAATAATAACTGACTAATAATAGTACTAATCTGCAGTCTTGGTGAACTAGTCTGTTGCAGGCTCTGGTTGAAGTGACCACCTCACAGTCAGAGTAAACAATAAACATTTCTGTAGTCACAGACAGAGGATGAGTTTGGAGATGATATGGAGGACCACCACAGCAGCAACCTGGTGCTAAATAAATGACATGGTTATCGGTCACCAAACCTTCAAAATAAGAGCCAGAACCAAAATACTTACATGAGTGTTCTGCCAAACTAAATATATTTGTGGGAAAACTATACTTGGCACAGAAATAAGTTAGGGGTACATAATGTCATGGCAAAATAAGTTCTTGGTAATCAGTAATTGATAAAGATCATGGTTGGAGCAGCATGAGTGCTTGATATGATTGTTGTTGATATATCTTGTTGTTGAATATACAGCCACCAGCTACTGATAGTTGTGCCTCTGGCTGTTGGGACTGACCATGTGTCACTTGAGCTGTTTTACAGGGTTTTTTTTTTTTGCTCCAAAAGTTTTAAATTGCACTGACCTACATTTCCTGTTTTTTGCTTTGTGTGTTTTTTTTTTTTTTTTTTTTTTTTTTACATATCTCAGCAGTAAACTGAACATAGAAACTTCGTCCTTTAAAAAAACAAAACAAAAACCTCTTTGATTCTGCACGTGTGCAGAAGTGCAGCTCAGCTCACAAATATTTACAAGAGGGAAGCGTGCTGCTTATCTACTAGATAACCCGATGGTGTAGCTGCTGCTGATAAGCATTGACTGAACGTGAGAGCTGCGCTGTGATAATCTGCTATCGCTGGATTTACTGATAGTAAATGGGAACATTTTCCTTTTAATTCTACTCAGTTTTAAGACCCAAAGATAACAGGGTTCAAATAAAAGCTAAGCAGCTGGAACTTCTTTATGCTTTTTCTGTTTCTCAGTCTTATACATTTAGGTCTGTTTAAGGACTGTATTTGGATAAAACCAAAGTTTTTACAGCTTTGCCACCAATTTGGATTTTAAATTCATCAAAATGTAACTGAAATGCAGTTTTAATTCAAGGGTTCTCACAAAAGCATCATATTAACTGTTTAGAAATGGCCTTTATATACACGGTTCCCCCATTTTCATTAGCTTATTAGACAACAAACAGTTTTATGACCTCATGAGTGCCTATTTGGTTAGATTTAGACTTTAAAATGTATTGGGCTACAGCCTGGACATAAAGTAAAATACTAATTTAAATTTCAGCATTTAAAACTAAAAAGTTTGCTTTAAAAAAGGTTATTGTTTTGGTTAAAATGCAACTCTTGCCAGCTGTTTTAAAGCTCTATTTGTGTGGTTGCCACGGTGACACATCTTCTCTGAAGAGCCTGGACAAACTATGTGTTACAGGGTGGCAGCACCTGTAGGCAGCTATCTATGTGTCCTGTAAACAGGAACAAAATGATCAGACAGGGAGTCGTGACTTGTCGTTCCTGAATACTCCGCAATTATTGCTGCTGACAGCTGCACTGAAAAAAAATACCTTTATGTCCATGAACAGGGATGAATCGATTTCTTTACTGTGAGGCCAGGCTGGCTTAAATCTTAAACCTAACTCTTCTGTTTGCCAGTGATAGCCAATCAGAAAGAAGTTGGCTTAAAAGACATATGAGCTAAATTAGCTTGTTTGATATATTTAGATAAAAAATGCCCAATTAATGCCCTTTTGGGCAATGTGTGTCGCACTCCTCTGGTTTTGTGTATGCTGAAGCATTATCCGTTAAAAGAGAAGCCAGTCCTGTGCTAATGTTGACATTTGAAATACAATCCGCTGTTTACCCTGAAACCTCTGTCAGGGATTTATAGTGCCGTCAGTGTTTGTGGTGCCTCCTCGCTGACTGCTGAATACATATTCATTGCAATCTCAGCTCACCCTGGAAGGAAACCAATCGTTGGAGGAAGTGACTCCTCCTCCATGGACCAGTGAAGTCCTTTCCGTCTCGGCCTGAGTTTGCAGACAAATTAACTAACCTATTTTTAAATGACACCAATTGAACCTAATGTGCTGTCTACCAAGACACTGAAACAGCGGACATTCCCTAAACCAGCCCAGATGTTGACTTTGGAATCAGTGCTAATCACACAAAACTCCAATATAAACCATTTACAGGATGTTTCCTCCCGCTTTGTAAAATGGCTTTACTGGTGAAATAAAGAATGCCTGGGACTTTCTGGGAGGACTGACTGGAGACATTTAATTACCCTTCGTGAAATAGTCACAAATAACGATGTCAACCAAGATAACAGTGCTGTGGAAAACATGGTAACTGCTTTACCACAGCAGATCCTCTGCCTCCATCTCACCCCGTTCCTACTAACCTCCTCTCCACACCAACCCTCTGCATGTCCTTCCTAAATCCACTAAATCCACAAATGTCTGGTCTTCCTCTTTTTCTCCTGCTTTGCAGCTTCTACATCCTTTCTTCACACTATCATCTTGGAAACTTTCATTCTTATTGTTATCCTAGTGTCACAAATCACCCCTGACACTCATCTCCACCCACCCCACCCTGCCTGCACTCTCTTCTTCACCTCTCTTGAGTTCTGTCTGCTGCTTTGGATGTTTGACCTCCAGGTATTTAAAATCACCTACCTTGACTACTTCTGCTCCTTGCATGATCTAAACATGAATCGGTAGATGTGAGACCGGTTTCATGAAAAATTGCATTCATGAAAACAAAAATAAGGTGGCAGGAGGAGGAATTTTCGTTGTCTTTGTTGATATTTTCTCAGTTGTTGTGACTCTTACAGCCACACTGAACTGACAGAATATCTTGTTTTCTTTTAGCTTATCTACAAGTCAGAACCCAGAAAATCCTGATGATTAAAATGATTTCTAATCACACGGGATGAAGATGAGCAGAAATTCTCCCTCATCAAGCTGCAAGCACTGCATGAATGTTATAAATGTGTCTCAGCTTCAAGCAGTTTTAGAATTACAGATTTTTATTAAATCCCCATCAACAACTTTATTTTCAGGTTTATTTTCAGATTTTTTTTAATAAATTAATTAATTTTTTTTGTCATTTCAGTGAAAGTTGGAAGTTCTCGTCCAGGCGTCCCAAACAAGCCAGCAGCACTGATGGCACCGCGCAGAGCAAGTGGTAAGACACAACTGTGTGTGTGTGTGTGTGTGTGTGTGTGTGGGGACACTGAGCATTAGCACAATAAAGTGTTTGAGAGCTTAGAGACACAAATCTGTCCTGCTTAGAAATATGCAAACTTGCAGAGAGATTTTCTGTGGTTTGTGTGTTTTTGCATGTGAGTGTGTGTCTGTGTGTGTTGGAGGGAGGGAGGGAGGGTGATGCATTATGCAATACAAACCTTGTGAAAGAAAAAGACTGCGATTGTGTAAGGAGAAACAAGACCCCACTGTTGTTGTGGTGGTGTGCTGTGAGTTTGATGCACCAGAATTGTGTGTGTGCGTGTGTGTGTGTTTGTGTGTGCTTAAGAGTGTATGATATTTTTTCCAGGGTGTTTATTGGCTGCAGCATGAAGTTGTGCAAACCAGTGGTCAGTTAATAGTCTTTCATTAAATATATTTATCCTTCTCTCAGCTAGTAATCATGTGCTGTGAGCCTCAGATTGACGAGTGCATATTGAGGGATATCGACGCCCTTATCAGTTCTGCTCAGACATCTCGTCCTCGATGGCACGACAGTATTTTTTGGCACAGCGAAAAATGTTTACTATGATTAAAAAACGTAAACTTAAAAAACAAAACAATGTGAAACTGCTTGTGGTTTTCCTTTGGTCACAGTTTTGTCTCCACTACACTGAACACAGAGTAGAAACAGTAGAAAAAGAGCTTGTTTGTGACTCAGGTGTGAACAAACTCCACCGATGCGAGTCTGACGTCACTGTTTGGCAGCAAGCTGTCAGGAAAAAAAAAAAAACACATGACAGCACTGGAAAAGGGAGCTAATCGGCTTGGAGGCATTCTGACTTATACAACCGTTTGGAAACTGTTCTTGACTCCGGTCCTTACTCAGGATGTTTGCTGCTGTGTTGCAATGAAGCAGTATGATTCTTCTGTGTGTTTTACTTAAATTTAAATGAATTTGGTCGTCATTACGCCTTCTGTGTATGCCATACATTAACTACATGACCATAGCTGTAGTGAATCTGTCCTACCTCAAACATCATGTAGTTTGATTACACTGCAGATTTCCTGGAGTTTTGGAACAATAACAGCACTTCTGGATTGCTGGAAAAACAAAAGCCAGCACACGTAAATAACTTATTTAGGAAGCAAATCGAATGCAGACTGGCTGGAGGGACTCAGGTAATCAGAGACTCGTCTGAGCTTGTCGTGGAAGGAATACAGCAGCAGAAGTATTAATATTATTATTAAGTATTAATATAGTGTGCTAATAAAGAGTTGGTGATTTTATATGGCCCTCGCTGAGCCTGGTTCTGCCAGAGGTTTCTTCCTGTTAAAAGGGAGTTTTTCCTTCCCACTGTCGCCAAAGTGCTTGCTCATAGGGGGTCATATGATAGTTGGGTTTTTCTCTGTATCTATGAAGCGCCTTGAGGCGACTTTTGTTGTGATTTGGCGCTATATAAATAAAATTGAATTGAATTAAATATGGAGGTCCAGCAACAGTAAACTCACCACTTGGCAACCATCCCATAATAAACAGGTTTGGGAATTTGTTTGAGAAGTTATTTTGAAGCACTGTGCAAATTAAATGTTAGTGCCTGTTTTTCCTCTAGAAGTTGTTAACCATGTTTAGTTTGCCATGTTTCTGTTGTGTCTTAGTTCAAGCACACATACTAGCACATGCATTTTTTGCCAGCAGAGGGCAACAAAGGACATTTAAAGCCTTACTGATCAGTGATTTAGGTTTAAATAGAAATGCAATCTGAAGAAAAATGATTGCTGAAGCATCTCAACATAAACAAGTAAAGTTCAGATGATGTCTGTGTCAGCAAACATCATCATACCAGGAGCATCGCTCATGTCCAGAAAGAAGAGAGCTATGACAGGTGCTTAGTGTGAGTCTCTGTAAGTCTAGCTTTTGTTTTTTGTTGTGATCTTGGCACCATCGCACACTAAAATTTGGCTAAAACATAAGTCATTCAAAAATAAAAAGATTCTCCTTAAACGTCTAATCTTGATATTGTAGGAAAAATTTCAAGATTTTGTTCAAATTATTCTAAAAAATTTTTTTTAATTTTCTTTGTGTGTTTTGTGTGTAACGTTGGTTCACTTTTTCTTGGTCATTGGTGAGCTCTTCTTTTATGTAAGTGCTACATTAAAAACTTTTTCTCTTGTTGCCAGTTTGTTTTAATCGAACCACTCAGATTATTAAATCAGCTTTAATCTCAGTGGTTTGATTTCATGTATGCATTTAATTAAAGCAAATTATGTTTGCTTTCTGCCTGCAGCCCCAAATCTGGCTCCCAAACCCTCTGGAGTCTCATCAACTCCTCTGGATCCAAACCCAGTCCTGGCCAAACCTGCAGCAGCCCCTAAAACTTCTGGACCAGCCCCAGCCAAACCCCCGAGCCCGGCTCCAGCTCCAGCCTTGAGGAAGGGGCCTGTGGTCCAGACCAAACCTGAGACTGCCAACACTACAAAACCAAACTCATCAGACCCTCCTCTGCCACCACGGTAAGAAAGAGAGACAAGCTTTAGGAAAAATGGAAGTTTGCTGCAAAGCAATGAATTTCCAGGCTGTGGTGTCTCTGGGTTGATGGGGCAGAGCTGCGTTCTCACATTGTTGAAATTCCAGCAGTTTATTTTAGACAACATAATTAGAAGACGAGTACTAATCACAGAAAAAATCAGCAGAGGTAGAAGAGAGAAAAACGGCTCAGTTTGTCTTTGTTTATACTCGTTTGGACATAAACGTGTAATTCTTGATCTAATGACAAAAGCAGGACTTCTACCATGTTAGCTCACTGGGTTG